GGGGGCACGGAGGGCAAGGGAGACACAGTCTCCTAAGCAGGCTCCAGGCTCAGAGCTGTCAGCATACAGCCCGACGCAAGGCTCAAACGCAAGAGCTGTGAGATAATGACTTCAAAGTCGGACACTTAACCGACTGGGCCAGCCAGACGTCCCAACACATAATCACTATTAAATCTTCTCCAATTTTCTTCCAATCTTATCTAAACATACAGATTTGGATATGATATTAGGGAAAGATATGAATTTATGGTTCAGAAACCCATTACCAATATGATTTCCAGGTCGTCTATACCAATTTACATTCTCACAAAGAATCAGACAATCCATCCACCACACCCTGGCCACAAACAAGAATTTGTTTACCATCATCTATGATTTTCTTTGGGTCAATAACCTTGGTGTGCCTGGATGGCTCAGTTAGGTATCCGAGTCTTGATTTCAGCTCAGGTCATGATCTCACTCCTGGCTTGTGAATTCAAACCTCATATCTCCATGCTGTCAATGCAGAGCCTACTTGGGATTCTCTCTTGCTCCCTCTTTCTCTGCTCCTCTCCCACTTGCACATGAGCACTCTTGATCTCTCTCTCTCTCTCTCTCTCTCAAAATAAATACACTTTATTAAAAAAAATAACCTTATCTCACACACTTACCTATTTCTTCATATTCCCTTGGCATTTATCAACCAACATCTCTTAGCATTTTGGTGATTTTTTTCCCTCAACTGACTTTTTCCACTTTTTTTTAACTTTGTATTATTTGTCCATATATCTATACAAGTCTTTATTGTTAAATGTATCCCTTTTTTTCCTTTGGGATAACTAGCATTACTTTCATGCTTTCAAAGCCCTCCCTGATTCAAAGACTGGAAAAATATTCATTTGTTGTTTTGTTGTTTTTTTTTAACTACCTAACTTATCTGGAATTCAATTTGCTGTATGATACAAGGCACAATTTCAAAGCCATTTCCCCCACCTCCTATCCAAGTTAAGTCAGTTTCTAAAATTTATCATTTGCATTTAATTTCATACTAGGAAAGGTGTCAGTTCTCAAGCCACGTCAACGAAGAAGCCTAACCAGCCCACTGAAATTTCCCACAGCTCCACAGCACTAGGAGGGGAAGGGACAGAGCACCTTTCCTTTCTCCTCGACAGTTCTCCATATACACACAAAGTACTACTCCCTCAGACTGTTGCCCTCAACCACTCACCATGAATGGTTTTCTACCTTGGAAAAGGCCTATAAGTAGGCTTTTCCACTTCCTCTGACCATTATTCTTTTTTATGATTTGCACACTCACAATAATTTCAAATATACTAATAAGCTGATATGAAAATGAGTTAACAGCACCGCCTGGGGGCCCAGTCAATTCAGCATCTGACTCCTGGTTTCAGCTCCGGTCATGATGTCACAGTTCTGTGAGTCTGAGCTCCACATCAGGCTCTGTGCTGACAGTACAGAGCCTGCTTGGAATTCTGTCTCCCTCTCTCTCTGCCCCTCCCCTGCTCTCTCTCTCTCGGAAATAAACTTAAAAACAAAAACTTTAAAAAAAAAAAAATGAGTTTACAGACTTAAGCCATCTACAGGTTCTGCCAAACAATCAGAAATAGGTTACAAAGGTTAGACTACACATTGCAATATCCTAAGTTGAAAGAAAACACGTTTTCAATACTGACAACAAATTTAAACACGAAAACTTGGATGTCACCAAGTTAAAGAACAGGATTACAGGGGCACCTGGGTGGCTCAGTCAGTAAGTGTCCAACTCTGGATTTGGGCTCACTCAGGTTGTGATCTTGTGGTTCACGAGATCAAGCCTCAAGTCAGGCTCCATGCTGACAGCTGTTGTGGGATCCTCTCTCTCCCTCTCTCTCTGCCTGCACCACACCCACCCCCACCATGCACATGGGCGCATTCTCACTCTCAAGAATAATTTTAAAAAATAAATTAAAAAAATAGGATCATGAAGGATTCAACAGTGCTACATATATATTTTCAAATAAGTAGTTAGGATATACCTTATTATTTAAAACACTATCTTTAGGGGCGCCTGGGTGGCTCAGTCGGTTAAGCGGCCGACTTCGGCTCAGGTCATGATCTCACAGTCCGTGAGTTTGAGCCCCGCGTCGGGCTCTGTGCTGACGGCTCAGAGCCTGGAGCCTGTTTCAGATTCTGTGTCTCCCTCTCTCTGACCCTCCCCTGTTCATGCTCTGTCTCTCCCTGTCTCAAAAATAAATAAAACGTTAAAAAAAATTTTTAAAAATAAATAAATAAATAAAAAATAAAACACTATCTTTAGACAAAAGACAAGTGTCAGATAACAAAATTTGAAAAAATTATGTCCCATTTATCAGTAAAAAATAAATTATAGGTAGGATGATTAACAGCAATAGCCATTCAGAAACCAACAAGAACCAATCACAACCTAGCAAAACTAGTTTCTGAGTACATTCTTCCCACATACCAAATGGACTACAGTTCAGTGTTCTAGCCAAACACTTTCCAAACACACTACAAAATCTTGCTTAAAAGTTTCAAATACATGGAGAATTCCTAACACGGCTGACCCTTGAATAATACAGGTTTGAACCGCACAGGTCCATGCATATATGGATTTCTTTTTGAAACAGTACAGTACTCCAAGTGCATGGTCTCTGCTTTATGATTTTCTTAGTAACATTTTTTCTCTAGCTTATCTTCTTGTAAGAATACAATATTTAATACATGTAACATACAAAAGGAGTTAATCAACTACTTATTTTGTGACTAGTAGGGCTTCTGGTCAACAGTAGGCCACTAGTCAACTTTTGGGGGAGCCAGACGTTATACACAGGCTTTTTACTGCACAGGGGTCAGGATCCTTAACCTGCACATTATTCAAGGGTCAAATGCATAACTACCTTCTAAGATGCACTATCTCAGCCAAACCATCGATGTGAAGATTACAAATCACATTCACAAACACAACTATGGGGCACCTGGGTAGGTTGAGCACATGACTCTTGATTTCAGCTCAGGTCGTTATCTTGCAGTTTGTGGGAACAAGTCCCATGCTGGGCTCCATGCTGACACCATGGAACCTGCTTGGGATTCTCTCACCCTTTCTCTGCCCCTCCCCCACTCATGCCCTCCATCTCTCAAAAAAAAAATAATTACACACACACACACACACACACAACTTATACCTCCATTTCTTCAGACTCTGCCTTATTCTCTGCTGGCGTGTGCTGCTGCTGCTCTTCAGCATGTGGTTCCTCCTGATCCACTTGCATCTTCTGAAAAACAGGTCGTATCAAATCCCGAAACTAGGAAACACTAATGAAAGAGTAAGCAACCCTCCTAACACAGAGGCAAAATCACATGGTAGGTAATTCCTGCTCAATTATCAGCACTCAGAATACCTAGACTCCAATTCCAGCTATGACATATGTTATCTCTAATAGGGAAGTCTTCCTCTCTGGATCTCAGTTCATACATCTGCACAAGGGAGTAACAGTTGTTATGTAAACCAGGGTGGCTGTGGAACTACTCTGTAAACCACAGCAGTGTACTTTACTACTTTATAAACTCATCTGATGCAGTGTGGCAATATTTAACAGATGTTTCTGAAGAGAAATGAGTTTCTCCCAGCTTCCTCATGAGTAAACTTCTCTCAAAAGTCTGGACACTTTCAAGTTTTTAAATTAGTCTTTTCATCCTCCCAAGTACAACCACTGCATGTATTAAGGGAGCTGAACACCTTCAGAATTCTGTTAAAAGAACAAAGGCTGACAATAATGATAAAGCAAAGTTTGTGGAGACCTCAATTCTTGGCTCTCAATGCCTGCAGCACATTAGAATGACCTCGGAGGTTTCTAAAACGGATACCTGGGCCTTAATCCAGACCAACTCAATAAAATCTCTGGAGACTCAGTAGTTTCATAAAGCCTTGATTTTGATGCACAAGAAGGATGAGGCCCAGTGCATGATTCCAATGAGAATACAATCTACTTGTGAAAATAACTGAGACTCCAAGCATTCTTCAGTAATCAGAATCAAAAATAACTCAACTGAAAGATTGTATAAAGACGTATCTGCTTGAATAAGGGGACACGTGCAAACTCACCCTCAGCACTCTGTCACAAAGTTCCTCCCTTGCCACCCAGTAAATTTGCTAGAATTTCTAGCCAAGTCACCTCTAGTATAAAACATCCAAATTACCTCTTCCTCCTTTGCATTCTGATCTGTTTCCATCGGTTCCTCATTTTCCTCAAACTTGAGCACTTCCACTAGAGATGCACTAGACACACTGAAGATGCCATGGACATTTACTCGCACCTTGACTTTCACTTTTGAACTGGAGCCATCAGACTGAGGAGTGACTTTCTGAACTAAAAACTGAGCTAGGGACATATGAGACAAAAGAGAAAATATGACCTGAGAGGACGAATTCAAACATGAATATATGCCTATATCACCAGGTTATGCCCATTTCCCAGTGATAAGTCAGTAACATGATGCTTCAAATACTCTTACAAGCTTACATGATCATCAGATTTCTCCTTCTTCTTTCACAAATAGTCAAACTCTTAGTACCTTGTCCCAATTAAGGATTCAAACGTCTCCTAACCCTCCAAACATTCCCTTACCATTGGTCCCTTACTACAATTCATCTTTATATGTCACTGCCAGATAAGTTCCTAAACCGATGTCACCTTCTCCACTACTGAAAAAAAAAAACAAACCCAGGGATTCCATACTGCTTCTGTCATTTACCAAAAAACTGCCATATACGGAGTCAGTTAGTATACCAGAGTTTTACTTAAGTTTTATAATTCACAAACCTCTGCAAAATATGAATGATCATTCTTATTCCAGCTTATAAATGAGGAAAACAGAGATTACCTTTCCCATAGCTTCTAAGTATCATTCACGGTATTCCTATACTTGACTCATGCATTCTAAGTCTGTAATTATCTGTAACTCTAATTTCTCTCTTTACCTGGTATTATTTCCAGATTGTAAGAGTTTCTGAGAGTCTATGAAGACTCTAACCAACATGGGTCCATGACCTGGGGTACTGATATAACAATTTCCTAATGATTTTCTGTGTATAACTCTTGTGTTATGGTCAAAACTGAATTTAACTCTTTTTCAGTATCTAGGAATATTATGTGCAAGGTATACCCACTATGTTCATTAGCCAAGAAATAACTGCCCACATAATAGGAGACCAAATTAAATAATAACCATCCTGCTAGTACTGAACTGGTAAAAAGACTGGCAGAGGTTTTTTGTGTATGACCTAAACTTCAGAATATTGTATTTGCCCTACTATCCCAGTTCTCCCAAGTACTTTTTTTTTTTTTTTTAATTCCCAACTCTACTTACCTATAGCAGGATCTGGATAGGGCAAATCCTGCGGAGAGCTATAATAGGCCTCAAGAGTGAAAGGTTCCTTTCTATAAAAGGTGAGTACTTTAGAGAAAGGAGCAGCATGATTTTTTGTAAAGACTTCACAGTCACTAGATAAAGGAAAAAGACAAAAACACACCCATTTAAGATATTCCTGAACACTTTTACCAATGTATGCTATGTTAGTAATTATAGCATGGCTCTAGTTACTCTTGCTCTCATCTGGCATCATTTCCAGGATAGAAGAGCTTCCAAGGAAAATAAAAAACCGACATGTCTATCTATACATACGTATAAAATCAACTTTAAGAAAAGGAATATACTTCAATAAGCACATAAAAGGCTTCAATTATTTCAGTCGGATCAACAGGAAACTAAATAAGGACACAAATTTATTCTCAAGACTAAAGTAAGGCATCACTCTGCTTCATGCACTGTGACAAAACATTACGGATTTGTAAAAGGTGAAACAGAGGGCAATATTTTACTCAGACCTAACACTAAGTTAACTTTAAATATAAAAATAATTAATAAATGTTATTACCTTGACCCTTCTTCAGCTGGAGAATTCCATCTCAGAGATATTGGATATGGTACTACATCAGTTATAGAAAATTCTCTGACTTTGAAAGCAGGCGATAAGATTGCACACTAGAATAATAATTTTTAAAAATTCCATATGACAAGTACAGACATTATGAACTATTATGAGCTGTATAAATAATAACTTCAAAAAACCATCAATGGTTTTTAAGTATTTACATTATTTAATGATGTGAGTAAGTGGTTTTAAAAACTTATCATTTGTCGAATTATCTTCCAGCCATTACTTACCATTTTCCCATTAACTTAAACCTTTACTTAACTGATGTAGAAGATTACTTCATATATAGACGATTAGTATGCCAAATTCTCATAATATCTCAGGCTTACATATGCTTCTAATAAATTAATTTATCTTACTGTGTATTACAGGGTACAATTCCATTCATCAATACCACCTGTGATATCCATTTTAAAAACTAAAATTTCAGAACCTTACACCTACAGATCATCCTGAGGTGACCTCAGATTATTAGTGAATACAGAAAAGCAAAGCCATCTGGGAACAATAACCTATAAATGGCTGGCTACCTATGAAAGAAAGCTCACCTGCAATGCACAGCCTCGAGTGACCGCTTCATCAGCATTTAATGTTGTACTAAGTTCTTTTCCAAAAAATTTGCTGATCTTCTCTTTCACTGCAGGGATTCGTGTCGCACCACCAACTATCTCCACTGCATAAATATCTTCTTTCTTTAACTCTATTTTAAGATGATTAGAAGATTTAGATTAAAACAATCTTTAGTACTTTACGGGGCAGCAGGATGGCTCAGTCAGTTAAGTGTCTGACTCTTGATTTCAGCTCAGGTCATGATCGCACAATTTGTGAGACTAAGTCCCATGACGGGCTCTGCACTGACAGCATAGAGCCTCCTTGGGATTCTCTCTCTCCCTCCTTCTGCCCCTCCCACACACATATATGCATCGCATGCGTTCTCTCTTTCTCTCAAATAAAAAAAATCTTTAAAAAATTTTTTTAATTAAAAAAAATAAAAATAAATTAGTACTTTGCATTGAAATAAAAGAGCAATGTAACATCTTAACACAAAGTAACTTAAAATGTAACAAAACTGCACCACTCCTTCACCCCACAGCCACCACCACCACTACCCATACATACATACATACATATACATATACATACACACACACACACACATACACACACACACACACACACACACGCTCTGGGGGGGCAGGGGTGGGGGGGGATTCCAAGCAGGCTCAGCCTGCACAGCCAGCCAGCAAAGAGCCTGATGTGGGGCTGGAACCTGTGAACTGTGAGATCATGACCTGAGCCGAAGTCGGGAGCTTAACCTCCTGAGCCACCCAGGTGACCCAAGTAGGTTATGTTTTAATGCACAAAATAACAAGGACAGTGTGGCACAATACTGGGACTTAAGAGGTGAGTGCCAGGAATACTCAATGCCCTGCAGTGTACAGGCCCTGTAATCTCTGAAACAGTACCAAAGAATTGTTTAAACACCAATACTTAAGCTAGCCAAAGGAAAAATAAGAGAGCCTTGAAATACTGAGTGATCCTGCTGTGGCATGAAAGAAAAAGCATTCAAAGCACGTCTAGCCACCTGAATATTCCATCTAGAACGTTAATAATACAGGTACGGCCTCCTTATAAAAGAAGTAAAGAAGGTGCACATCAAACGTCTTCAGTCATTCATAAAATACTAACACCACATTTTATGCAACAAATACTGACGATACGTTGAGAAGGGCTATTTAAAGAAATGGATATCCCAGTATGGAAAAGTACATGCCAGTGTGCCATAGTCACTCTGATTTAAGAGCTGGGCCTTTGTCAAGATGACAGTATATCTCAACACACTGAAATACTCAGCAACCAACACAACAGTGGATTCCAAATAAAAGTATGTTGAAGGTTTTAGAAAAATTAAGGATACATTCCTAAATCAAACTTCTACTTTTAGCTAGAGATAAAATTAAAGCATCCTGTTAAAATAGCTTTGTGGTTATCACATCCTCCCTTTGCTGTATTTCTCAGTCAGCAAAAGATTCACTGACAGAAAAGGCTTTAAGACTAGAATAAGCAGCAATGCAAAAGACAATTTTTACCAATAAATGAGATGCTTATATCCACCTGTGAGTCTGAATTAACTCAAGAAAATTATTAGATTTCACTGGACAATATGATCAAAAGGGTGGGGGCTGGGGTGCTCCAGAGGAAAAATATAGATAACAAGAGGCTTCATGCAGCAATAAAGCAGTTCATACAATGAAAATGTATATAACTTTAACAAAAAGTTATAAATGACATTTTCCAAAGAGCCTGAATTATACAAACAACTCAGTCACAATAATACTTACTGGCCTGTTCCAAAACACTACGAAGTGGTGGCTCCACTCTAGCTAAGAGATCATCGCACATCTCCAGAAATTTGCCTCTATGAAAAAAACAGCAATAGGTTCAAATCACATTCCACTTTTATGTGGGGAATACATGGCTATAATCAAAAGGTAGGTAATAACAAGTATTGGCAAGAATGTAAAGAAACTGGACCCCTCACATATTCCTGGTGAGAATGCAAAATGGTATGGCTACTTTGTCAAAGGATTTGTCAATTCCTCAAAATGTTAAACACAGTGTTACCGTATGACCCAACAATTCCACTCCAGGTATACAACCAAACTAATTGAAAACCCAAGTCCACACAAAAAATTGCACATAAATATTCTTCACAACAGCCAAAAAAGTAGAAAAAAAACTAATGTCCATCAAGCAGTATTCAGGAAATAAAAAGGAATGAATACAGTAACAGAGACTAATATTGGTTAAAAGATGGTTATTAAACTTTTAAAAAATTATGTGAGGTGAAAGAAGCCAATCAAAAAAGAACACATATTAGAGGCGCCCAGGTGACTCAGTGGATTAAGAGCCAACTCTTGATTTCGGCTCAGTTCATGATCTCACGGTTCGTTTCATGAGTTCAAGCTCCACATGGGGCTCTGTACTCACAACGCGGAGCCAGCTTCAGATCCTCTGTCTCCCTCTGTCTCTGCCTCTCTCCTGCTTGACCACTCTCTCTCGCTCTCTCAAAAATAAATAAAAAACATTTAAAATTTTTTTATTTTTGAGAGAGAGAGGGACAGAGAAAGGGAGACACAGAATCTGAAGCAGGCTCCAGGCTCTCAGCTGTCAGCAAAGAGCCCAACGTGGGGCTCAAACCCACCAACTGTGAGATCATGACCTGAGCAGAAGTCAAACGCTTAAGTGAGCCACCCCAGCGCCCTTAAAAAAAATTTTTTTAAAAAAGAAGAAAACATATTATAGGACTCCATTCGTATGCAATGTTCAGAGTGGGCAAATCCAAAAAGCAGAAGAATAGCTGCCTAGGGCTGTAGTAGGAGAAAAACAGATGATGAAAGACAGCAAATGGGTACAATTTCTTTTTTTCCGTTTTTTTTTTCCTTCAAACACTTTCAGTTTTAGGTTTACAGAGAAATATACAGAAAGTACAGAGAATTCCCACATACCCCTCACCAGCCCCCCACAATTCTATTAACATCTTGCATTAGCGTGATACCTTCCCAATACAGACACATATAGTAATATAAACTAGGGTTCTATAGGCTTTGACAAATGTATGATGGTAAGTATCCAGCTTGATAAAGGCGTATGGAATAGCTTCACTGCCCTAAAAATCCTATGCTCCACCTATTCATCGCTCACTCCCCCTGAAATCAAACAGCATGGAACCTTCTCAAACTGGCTTCTTTTGTTTAGAAATATGCATTTAGGGTTTCTCCAAGTTTTTTTTATAGCTTGACAGCTCATCCAGGGTTTATGAGATGATGAAAATATTCTACAACTTCCTTGCGGTAATGGCTACAAATTTTGTGAATGTATTAAAACCCACTGATTACACACTTTAAGAGTATGACTTTTATGAATTGTATCTCTGAGGTACAGAATATACAACACACCAGAAGAGCCAAAATTTAAGACCAGCTATGCCAATATTGATGAGGACATAAAACAACTGAATCCCTTACGTGTTGGTGACCGTTTAAAATGAGTTTTTTCCTGAGCGCCTGGGTGGCTCAGGCAGTTGAGAGTCCAACTCTTGATTCTGGTTAAGGTCATGGTTCATGAGTTGAAGCCTCACTGTCAGTGCAGAGCCTGCATAGGATTCTCTCTCTTCCCTCTCTCTCTGCCCCTCCCGGCTCTCGTCCACACTCTCTCTCTCTCCAAAATAAACATAAAAATAATTTTTTTATGTTTTTAATATGGTATTTATCTCTGAGAGAGAGAGCATGAGCAGGGGAGAGGCAAAGAGAGAGGGAGACAGAAGATCCAAAGCAGGCTCCACTCTAACAGCAGTGAGCCCAGTATGGGGCTTGAACTCATGAACTGTGAGAACATGACCTGAGCCAAAGTCAGACACTCAACCAACTGAGCCACCCAGGTGCCCCACGCCCCGCCAAAAAAAATTTTATGAGTTTTTTTTTCCCTAATAGCAACAGAACTGGAAAAAGC